TGCCGTCATGCGTTAAGCTGCGCACCGACAAGGAGCGATGCCTGGCAGCACCAGCCGGGCCCGTCAGGAGCGGAGACGGGTCACTACGTCCAGACAACACCCGGTCTCCACGAGCGGAGCGACTTTACCTCTGGGTCCGACGAGAAGCGCCGCGATTTTATTCATTTTATCTCTTTTTTTTTTGTTTCTCGCGAAGCGTGGTGAAAAGCATTCAGCGCTTGAGTCATCCACCAGCTGGATTCACCACATCATTACAGCGTCCATCAGACTCCTGCGGTTTATGGCGCTAAATGTCAGGCATTTGAAGATTATCTATGATTCAAATGAATAAATAAATAAAACAATTCTCTAAAACAGTGATGGAGGCTTGTAAATGTCAGCAAATATCTGCAAACGCTCGCAGGAACGTTCATTTAATAAATCACCTGTTTAAGCAACACAGATGGCAAAAGTCAGCAAATTAAATCAGATTCTTTAAGCTTTTTAAAGGTTCTGGTGTGTTTTTTTTAACATAGACTATATATATATATATATATATATATATATATATATATATATATAAAATTCCCTTCTCACCCACCGCGGGTGGTTCTTATCCTCTGAGCTCGGGTCCTCTACCAGAGGCCTGGGAGCTTGAGGGTCCTGCAGTATCTTGGCTGTGCCAAGGACTGCACATTTCTGGACTGAGATGTCTGATGTTGTTCCTGGGATCTGTTGTAGCCACTGCTCCAGTTTGGGGTTACTGCCCCGAGGGCCCCGACCACAGGCACCACTGTGGTCTTCACCTTCCAGGCCCTCTCCAGTTCTTCCCTGAGGCCTGGTATTTCTCCAGTTTCTCGTGCTCCTTTTTCCTGATGTTGCAATCACTTGGTATTGCTACATCAACCACAACGGCTTTCCTCTGATGTTTATCCACTACGACAATGTCTGGTTGGTTCGCCATTACCATTTTTTTTTTTTTTTTTAATAATAATAATAATCATGAGTGACTGATAGTCTGACTGCGCCGACCTTGACCTTGACCTTGACCTTGGTGTCGTTTAGAAATGAGGGATAAAAACCGTCACAGTGAATAGAAAGTACGCCCAACGCACCAGTGCATGATGGTCTTTTCTTTGACAGGCTCGAAAATGATTTCCATGTGAACAGGAAAACAAACAATAGATTTAATTTGATAATTTATCACCAAACAGAATTAGCTACACTGAGTACCAATAACGCTCAGTGTCGTTTTATCAAATAGTTTACGTTTTCTTACACGTGCGTTGATTTTTGCGGAGCTCTTTTATGGTTCTGCCACAGGGTTTAAGTGAGGTAGAGGTCAGGACTTTAACTAGGACACTTAGGCATCTTGACTCATTTCCTTTAAATCATTCTGTTTAGCTTTGCTGCTTTGTTTGACGAATAAATTTTAAATACGCCTCCATGGGCAACAACGGCGCCCATTAAATTTAGCTTTGTTTTGAAAATATGACGTTTGTGTTTTATGTGAGCTCTTTAGCATGTGTCAGTTTAGTCGGCTAAAACAGACCAAACTTTGCCTTCTCCTCCATCGGGTTGTTGGTGCGTCTGAAGTGTGGCCATCAAACTAAAACCAGGGATGATGTCACCTTCATCGGTTCAGGCTGTCCTGATAAAACCGCTGGCTCCGAGGCCCCATTACGGCAGACCTCAGCTGCTCAGAGCCGCGTGGTCAGTGCTGCTCGAGAGACCCAAACATGAACGCAAAGGCACATTTTACGCAGCTCTGGCATTAGTCAGAGGAATCGTCTGACAGTCTGGGAAATACGCTCATGTGTTGCTTTTTTGCCAAGCGTTACATGAGAAGATGGATGACATGTTTCATATCTGCCTGTTAAACGCAGAGCTGGAACAAGAAGATTGATAGCTTAGCTTAGCACACAGGCTAAGTCACATTTGGTTCCAGAAATTCGATCCGGTCCGTCACGAAAAGCACACGAAACCCAGCCATATCACTACATCTCAGAAAGATGTTATTACTCTTTGTTGTTTTTGTTCTGGGGAAGCCGATCCAGTCGGCGGTTAACGTGTTTTCAGTCAGGGAAATCTCAATCTGCCGGGAGCCAGCATCCTGCTTAGTTTCAAGATAGGAGACATGTCCAAGCGCTAACGCATGGCTGTGGAAGGTTACCGTGGCAAGAACAAATGAGGCCTTTAAGTGGCTCGGGAAAAATACGTTTTTCATGCTCATCAAGCTTTAAAATTTTACGATCGGTGGGACAGATTGTGTAAAACTAGATGAAATGTGAGAGCAATGTCGGCGCCCCAAGGAACAGTTTCCCAACGAAGACGTGTAATGTAACGTGAAACCCCAGAGCAACCTGATGTTAACTTGGAAGGGTGGTTGCCAAAGTTTTTGACCTTCGACCCACAAAATTACCCCGTGAGAGACTTGTGACCCCAGCTGTCACTGCTTAAAGTGTGAAAACATTGCTAATTATCCTGTTAAACGATAAAGGCTTCTCAACCAAACAAAACCACTTTCATCACTTTGAAATATATTTAAAGGTAATCCTTTTATTTTCTTATCAGCTGAATGAAAGATGGCTGCTGCACTTTTTGCCGCTTTTAACCGCAGTCGGCATGAAAGAATTGTTTTGGCAATTTGCTTTAAATAAAAACAATTACCGATATTCAACTTTGATATCAAAACTGCAGAGTCGTGGTATTTTTACCTGACATTATTATACCATAAGAATCTCAAATCAGCTGTTCACCAGCGAAGAAAAAGGGTTTACAAAACTCACAGCCAACAGATGAAACGCAGAACACGTTTTTTTCTTTTGACTGTTGTGTTCGGAGAAGATGTTAAAAAGATAAAAATAAAGTTTGAAAGGAGAAAATGTTGTGCTTCGTGTTGTTCCGATGATTTAAAGGTCTTTTAATGACATGCCAGAGGAAGAGCCAGAGTGACCCCAACGTCCTGCGTGGAGCAATATGGTGCTGCCCCTCCCTCACTTGTTGCTGTGTCGCTGAATTAATGCGGCTACATCTTTCTCTTTGCAGCATAACAAGAAGTAGATTGATGACAAAAAACTAGAAAAGCCATCTTGTGGAAGCTATTGGAGGTCAGGCTTATTTTCTGCTGTCACTGGCAACAAAGAGCGCATCTGCATCCAACTGACCAATTAATTAATTTCAACTTGTTGTATTTGTGTTACATTATAAGAAACACGATCATAAAAAGAGAGAATAGTCTGTGCGACACGGCTGACAACGAATTGATCAAATCCACTATATTACATGTTTAATGCATCGGAAAATGTTTGGAGAATGTGAAGATGCTGAGAAGAAAGAAATTAAGACCCCAAAACTGAATAGTTTCTTGTTGTTTCTACTTCTGGATGTAGTGCAAACACTTTGCTCACGAGGAAAATCAAAGTTTTGACAGTCGTAGCATTTTATCCACCTTTGCTGCCGTTTTCATTTCTGTCCTTACGGCACAAACGTGCGCCAAGGACACCAACACTTGCGTCCATAAACGAGCTTTCAGAGCCAGAGCTCAAACATCTGAGCACCAACAAGTCTTGGTATGTTCACATTTGCCACAAAGAGGTGTTGAGGTGGTGTTGAGTTCGGTGACGTCATTCGGGCAACTGTGCAACTCGCAGCAGCTGCTGCTTGCTGTGGGACAGAAACACTTGACTCTTCTCTTCAGCCCGGTGTTATGCCTGCACTAACTTTTCCCTTCGCAGCGTCCTCCTTTCCTGTGGTCTCACCCTGACATTTTGACCTCTGCCAGCTCTGCCTCCACCCCTCAGTGTGACATCAGCTTCAATCTGTAACTCCTCCAACCATGTCTCTCCATATGGAGACAATTACCGCGCCGCGTCGCAGCCGTTGGAGACTGCAAACACATTTCAGCTAAAGTTAAATAAACATCTGATTACTTCTTCACACTCTTGCACTACTTTGGTCCCAGGGGAACCATAATCTATGGCATTACACACACCTACATTCAGAATATCATCCAGGGGTGAGAAATAATAATCTCTGTTTATCTCATATGTCTCAAAAAGTGTGTTTTTGCGGTCAAATGTTCACATCCAAAGGCAGCAGTGAGTAAACCCCTGAAACAGAACAAGGTGTGGTAATTATGAGCCATCTAGGCGAAAGCTGCTTTTTGAGCTAACTGTTAATGTTGGCTCGTGGTTTTCAATGAAAATTGAATTTACGGCACAGCCCCACCAAGCTGATGTCTTTGCCTAGCAATTTTAAGAGAAATTGTTCATATAAGCGTGCATTTTAAATTACTCCAACCAACGTAGAGGGTTTTTCCTCTTTTTTTTTTTTTTTACAAGCATCTGTGATATTTAAAACATATTATATGAATCTCCTGCCACAGCTCTGGCTCTTTTTCCCCTCGTACTGACCGCTGCGGCTCGACCGGCTCTGGCTCTTTTTCTCGAGCCCAACGTCTGCGGTCTGTGGCATCCGTGACCAGAGTGCTCCACTGCTACACAAGCCGCCCGGCCGGGCTTTTCTCATTCATCCCTATAGCTGTAGGGATATTTAGGAGCCGACTCATCGCTGTAAAAGGGCTCAGATGTGTTTATGTGCACACATAACGAGAGCGAGGCACCGAAAAGAGAAACATTGTGGTTCTAACTTACAGCAGTCCTTTAAACTGCAAGTTTTTTTGTTTTGTTTTTTTGCGATGTCTCTTCCTGAAAGTAATCAAACGCAGACTTTCTGTCTTAATTTGAGCCCACTTTTAAGAGGCCGACTGGTTCAGAGTACAGTGGGGTGATTAGCGAGCTAACCAAATACACACCACCTCACATAATAAGGGCACTGATGTGGGTAGAGATGCCTGGTGCTGCTAAAGGCACACAGATGTGTCCAGACTAAACATGTGGTCCTTGAGAAAACTTGTGTCTGATAACTCTGTTCCCAAAGACTGACTTTTAAAGAGAGAGAGAGAGAGAAAGAGAGAGAGAGAGAGAGAGAGAAAAAAAGCACAAAACAACCAAACTCACCTTCGCGACACTCGGCCCCCACAAATCCAGGGCAGCACCTCCACTCCAGAGCCGTGATTTGCTTGTACGTGATCTTAAACGACGGCTTGATGACAGTTCTGTAGCTGCACAGAACGAAACGGGAACAGAAACGTCATCGAAGCAGTGAATGTGCCGATCTGATTTGTTTTTGGCACAAATGATTAGAGGGACAACAATTAGGACTGGATAAAAGGAGAAGATTCAGGCTAACTGAGGTTGACACTTTGAGTGGAGATCCAGAAAACTCTAACCAGAGGAACCCACAGAGAGCATTTCCTAAAGGTTCTGCACAGGTTCTACATCGACCTCCTGGAAACTCTCAGGGAAATTTCTGGAGATTAAAACTGTGACTTTTAGAGAACCTTCAGGGAATGTTTCCTAAAAATCTCTGAAGGTTGATTTCTGGGAACTATTAGGGAAGGGAATGTGCTTTAAATGTTCCCTGGAGATTATCCACAACTTTCCCAGTGTAACCTTCAGAAAGTGATTCTCTGACCCATTTTCCAGCCTTTACAGGACATGAGGGGAAACCTTCCCAAAGGTTCCCTGGATGGTGCAACTTTCAAAGTGTACCTGTTAGAAAACCTTCAAGGAACACCCTCTGAGGTTCCCTTGTGTTTTAACCTTCTAGGAATGAACCCTAAAGGTTCCCTTAAGGCTACACCGTGATCACATTTAGGAAACTTTCCCTGAAGGATTCAGATGTTTAGAGAACCTTCCGGAAATACTTCCCAAAGGTTTTCAGAAGGTTCATTTCAACGTTTTTTGGGAACTAACGAGCAATGTTCCCTGAGTGTTAATTCCAGGAATGTCCTAATAAAGTTCTCTATTGGACATGCGGCTGGAGAACAGATCTTTCACAATGCAAACTGCGGAGAATATCCAGTTCTCTAAAGGTTTTCTACAGCTTTTACCATGAAAGCTGTAGAAAACCCGGAGTATTGTTCATGAACGATTACCTGAGGACTGCCAGGTAATCTTTTAACAATGCAACATTTAGAGAGTCTTTTGTGAACATTACCTGAGAGCTCTTTAAAGGATAAGTGCAACAATGACAATGTGCTGATTCAAGAACTTCAAGGGTTGTTCTCCAGGTTTCTTAGGACATATCTATCTTAAGGGGTCGTTCCCTGCAACTTTAGGGATGTAACATATGCCTTCAAGGAACACTTAAATGCCCCATCAACATCTTCCACAATGTGACATGGACATTCAGCAGATGTACCCTAAATGTAACAGCTAGGGGACGTTCAGGGAACGTCCCTTAAAGGTTCTCTTGATGTTTATTTAAAAACTGGCAGTGCAGCCTTTTGTAAACAACCAAGAAATATACTTTAAAGGCTCCTTTTGGCATCTATTGTTTGAGCATTCTACAGTCTTTAAGGCTTCAATTAGCTCCACTGAACTTATTACAGTAAATTTAGTTGCATCGTTTAGCGAATCTTCCTGTGACCCCGTCTAAAGGTCGATAAAATGGTTCTTTAGTCCTACAACAAACACTGCAAGATCATTTCTCAATGTTCCACCAACCTTGAGCTTGAACGTTATCTAATGTTCTCACTTTGTTCATCGGGTGTTGTTGAGATGTAAGCATTTGTAAGCAGATCACAAACAGAGCTCCAGCTTTTAAAAAGTACGCATGTTGGTGGACTCTACCTGATGACTTTGCTGCAGGGTCCGGGCCACCGGCAGGCCTGCATCACCCTCTGCACTGAGGTTTCAGTCCCATTGTGCACTTTGCAGGGCACTGTCCTGGAAGCAGTGTACTGACACCAGTTCCTAAAACGCAAAAGCAAGAGCGATGCAATTCTTACTGATAACCGCTGGAAGACAAAACAACAACAACAACAACAAAACAACACAGACGGAGAGGGAAAAGATGCTGCGACGCGCGTAAAACTGCAGCCAACCCTCCGGAGCGGGCGCACCTAAGCGAGGACGCGGCTCCCGGCGGACCCGCGCTGCTGCCCTGTTCGGAGTGGACGCGCTGCCGCTGCAGGGTGATCCCCGGGAAGCGATAAACAAACCCGGTTCCAAGTGAGGGAGGCAACAAGCCCATCCACACGCAGAGCGCGCAGAGGTAACCCAGAGCCATCTTCTTTCTTTGAAATGATCCCCGACGGAGATATCCCGCAGAAACAGCACTGCGCTTTTCAAGCGAATCCCGTTACAGTTTTGAAATGGAAACAGGAAACCCCTACAGAGCTCCCGATGAAACCATCAGAAGGAGTTTACCATCTCCTCTTCCCGATTTAAAAAAAAAAAAAAAAAAGAAAAGAAAAAAAAACAAGCGTGCCCCCCCTTCAAGAGGACGGTATGAATGACACACAGCCTCTTCCTATAGAATAACTGGGCTCTCTGACGTTTGACATGGTGCCGAGAACCGAGGAGTCAAATATCCAGAGAGCGAATTAAAAAAAAAAAAAGAAAGAAAAGAAAAAGCGCGCCGAAGCTGGAGAAGTGCGTCAAAAGCGCATCTGGTCTCCATTGAAAACCCAAAGCTCCCGAGGCTGACGCGGGATAATTTAAAAAGAGTATCACGTTTGGTATGACATTTAACAATAAGTTTACCTTCATTATAATACTGAAGGTAAACGTATTGTTAAATACGTTTACCTTCTGAGTTTGCCTGTCTGAGTATGACTTGATAAGGTGTTACAGACAGGATGTTGCAAGTAGAGGGAAATATCTTTTAAAAAAGAGAATTTTGAAAGAAAAAATAATTCAGAAAAAAAACTCAAAATTTTGAGGAAAATTTGATTTAAAAAAAGTGGCCCCATATCTTCCACACTGTGCAATTAATTTTTTGGGGAAAAAATGTTTTTTAGGAATAGTATTTCATGTCATTCGATCAAATGCTGGAGGTTAGTTTATGATAGAAATGAGCTACATTAATAAGTTAGTAAATAAGTTCATAGTGATCGCCTGGCTAAATACACGCTGAAATGGGTTAAAGTGTTGGAGTTTGACATTAAATCAGAGTGTGACATGTGTGATGTAAACGATCTGTGGCACGTCATATTTGCGGAAACATGATCGAGTGAGCGCTCTTAGCAGCAGCACGCTATCTTTGTCGAATGTTTCCTCGGTAACCTTGTCAACCAGAATTCAGTCATTTAGGAGAAAGTAAACGACTCTTGAACATCCTAATGTACTTTATACTCTTTGTACTTGGAAAAACATTCGTCTTTGCAGGTTTTTACGGCATTTGGGAGACAGTTAGACATGTGATGTTTTTTAATGACATAATAAAATGCAGAGAAATGTCATCTTTGAGTGTAGCATTATTATATATGTATCCATTAGCTAGTAATGTATGTTTTCTCTGTAAATCTTTTTGAGTGTAGCATTAAGATGAGCGTATTAATTATTTTCCCTTCTATTGCATTTCAGTTTTTAAAAAAATCCCTTTAAAAATATATATATATTGTTAATAAAAGTGCCTTTCTCTAGTTGTTTCCTGGCTAACACATGAAGTCACCTAGTGTGAGTATTTTATCCTGTTTTAACATATGCCGTATCTCTAGGTATTAGTTTCACGAGTTTTCTTCCACCTAAATCTCTTATTTTGTAATTATGTTAATTGTTTGTTGTTTTCGTTTTCGCATCCATGTTGTGATTAGCTACTCATTACTTGAGTGACCTATTTATGTCTCACTCTTACTTGAGTAATGTCTTGGACAGTAATCTTCTTCTTGTTTTAATTTTACTAAAACAGAAAAATAACCCAATACAATATGTGGGTACACTTACACCCAGCTCCGCGGCGCCCCCTGGTGGCCCTTTTCCTCTCCCTGCAGCCTCCAAAAGGAGACGTGTCCCACCTCGGATTAGCTTGAACGGTTCTCGCCGAAACATGGCCACGGACCCTGAGCGAGCGGAAGCGGAGATGACAGAGAACCCGTTGGAGCCGTACATCGAGTCCTTTCGGCAGCAGCTGGAGGAGCAGGACCCCGTGGTTCTGGTCGGACTGGTCGTGGCTCTGGCGGTGGTTATCATCACCTGCGGTAGGAACGTGCAGCCCGCGTTAGCTTTGTTAGCTTAGCAGGCTAGCTTTAGCATGTAGCTTAGCGAGTGGAAATCCCACTCAGGCAAATGTAAAGCTGTCTTCTCAGCAACAACTTCTACTGTATCTTCAGCATTTTAAACACTGTTTGAAACTGTTAGCTTATTGTTTTAACAAGCACGAGCCAGGAAGTCATTCAAACGGCTGCTTTCGCTCACTGACTACCAAACTCAAGTTCATTTTCTGATTCATTTCAGTGTTCTTGAAGTACTTTTTAACCAGCAAGACAGTCCGGAGCGCCGTGCTGCTGGTGGGACTGTGTGACTCTGGGAAAACCCTTCTGTTTATCCGGGTGAGCTTTGCTCTCAGGAGGACTCCAGGAGTGTTGGGGGCTCCTTTGTTTTAAACCGTGTCATCTTTATGTCTCTCCAGCTGCTGTCAGGGAAGTTCAAGCGCACCCAGACCTCCATCACAGACAGCAGCGCCCCGTACAAAGCTAAAAACGACAGAGTAAGTCACAGACTGCTGCAGCAGTGCCTTCCATGAACGTTAATGTCATTAGAGTAATGAAAGCCTCTTATGTTATTGAGGGTATGAGAGTAAAAGGGGCAAAAATGCACACCACACTTTTGAGATTTCTGGCTCTTCAAACGTTTCGAAAACCACACATCCTCTCCGCCCTGAATTTGTAGTTGAGAAGTGCTCTGTGTTGGCCAACTTGGAGTTGGTGGTTGTAACATCACCAGATGTGAAAACATTGAAGTGGTGTGATTTGTTTTTACTTTCTTAATTCGCTGCTTTGTTGTCGTTGTGTGTTGACAGTGATCCACAGTTTTCCTCCTTCCTTTCAGAGCTGCACCTGGACTCTGATAGACCTCCCGGGACATGACAGTCTGCGCTCTCAGTACCTGGAGAAGTTCAAGTCTGCAGCCAGGTGAGAGCCCCGTGTGTGGCTACGTCTTCACACTTTCCTCCTTATGTTGTTGGGATCATGAAAAATGAGTTAGGCCTGTCCAAAGCATTACAGTTTCTAAAATATGCCAATTTTTGTTAATTGAATTTTTAATTTCAAATCCTGCTGTGATCACCACTGGATTAACTCGCCCGTTGTCTGTCCAGAGCCATCGTGTTTGTGGTGGACAGCGCCATCTTCCAGAAGGAGGTCAGAGACGTGGCCGAGTTCCTCTACATGTTGTTGACGGACCCGGTGGTCTACAGAATCGCTCCAACTCTGCTGGTGGTGTGCAACAAACAAGGTGACAACACTTTTTTTTCTTCTTTTTTTTAACCAGTAAACTCAACCACAAAATATCACACAAATATATTTGTGTGATATTTTGTTCTGCACTATCTATCTGTCACAGAGTGACCTCATTTAATTCTCTCTTCTTCTGCGTAGATGTTGCGATGGCAAAATCTGCCAAACTGATTCAGCAGCAGCTGGAGAAGGAACTGTAAGTGTCTGAAATTAAAAAATTTTCAAAGGTTCAAACCATTAACTTTGAACCTACTTGCTAGTGACGCATTAACCTGCTTTTACAAATTCACAATGTCTGCATTGACGCCAGCTAGTATTCACCTTGCTTCATCCTAATTTCTGTATATAAATAAGACGTAACTAAGGTAATGCCACAAGTATTAGTTCAAGTTTCTCAATCACTAAAACAGGCTTTTGCACAAAAAAAAACAATTCAGTCGGGAAAACTCAAGGAGTCGAGGCTCAGTGAAAGGAACTCCTTACATTTCCATTTACTAACACCTTCTGGACAATTCCCTGTTTCCTACCCTGCGCTGCCGTTTTGTTGATACTTTCTCCTTGATCCAACCTGACTTTGCACCACTTGCTCAGGTCAAAGTCCATAAAGACATGGATGATCAAGTTTGACAATAAGGAACTAAACACAGAGTCCTGGCCTCGTGAATTACAGCAGACTTCCAATCAGGGCTTTCTTGTCCAACGTCAGTGTCTGACCTCAGGAATGAAAGAATGGCAAAATATTCCCGCAAACACACCTAACCCTTGTGGAAAGCCTTCCCAAATGTCATCACAGCTGCAAAGGGTGGGGCAGCTTTATATTAAAGCCTATGGATTAGGAATGGGATGAAGACAGACACGTTTTGCAATATGAAATGGGTCGATGTCCAGGTCTATGCTAGAATTTGACAACCTGTGAATGAATCGCAGACGTTCCACTTTAAACTCAAACCAAAGAGGAATTTTATCAATAAATACCGCCGATTTCCCCGCAGGAACACCTTGAGGGTGACCCACTCGGCAGCTCTGAGCGCCCAGGATGGCTCCGTCGGCGGCAGCGTGTATCTGGGGAAAAAAGGCAAGGATTTCGAGTTCAGCCAGCTGCCCATGAAGGTGGAGTTCCTGGAGAGCAGCGCCCGCGGCAGCAAGGGTAAAGACGGGGACGCTGACATCGAGAGCCTGGAGAAGAGCCTGGCTAACCTGTAAACGCCGCAGCTCAACTCACTGGACGCACTTATGCCTCAACAGGCACAAACCTCGGACGGGGAGCGTCTGCCGTCCTCCTCAATAATCAGAGGAGGGGAGGCGAGACGCTCCTCTGGCTCGGTGCAACCTCAGCCTCTTAACTCCATTTAAACATCTGCACCACAACAAAGATTTTCAAAAGTGGGAAATCACGAGTTTAACAAGACAATTGGATAATTATGGACATTGTGGTTCCTCTGATCCGGCTTGTTCAGCGCAAAGTTTTGGTTCGCTTCTTTGTGACATCTGTAAGGACAGACTTTTTGCTGTTGTGTGGCTGCCGTTATTAAAGAGAAAAGCTGTAAACTGCCTTGTGAAAAATAGACGGGTGTGCATTGCGTTTCTTCTTTAACTTGGATTGTTTGCCTTCTTTCTTTCCTCGTCGTCCTTATTTTCAATCTGACATGTTTTGCAAAAGAAATGGCTCAGTTGTTTGAATGTTTTAAATGAATATATGCGTTTACTGTCATTTTGCTTTAGTAAAAAAAACCTTTTGTTTGAATGAAACGTGTGAAAAACATTCTGTGTGGTTTTGTAAATTGGTAAAGGAAAATAAAGGGGAAGTTTTGAATGGAGTCTGTGATGGTGGGACTGTTTCTCACTGTCAACATGAAGAGTCATGAAGTCAAGTGGCCTGAAAACAAAGAGGAGAGTCATCAGCAGCTCTAAAACATAATTTTAAAGTTCCCTCCTGCTATCAAAATAAAATAAGTAAAATTTTTCTAACTCTCTGAAACCCACCTGTAGTCTTAAGAGACACTGTCCTCTGGACTCTACATGTTTTTTTTTTACCCTGTATATAGTTCGCACCTTTGAGGTGCGGACTTTTGTGTGTGGTTTCGGGAACTGACGGTCTGACAGGACAAGTCCCTGCTTCTCCAGTCTGTCTGTCTTCTGAGCGTCGCACTGAGACCGCAGAAGGGTTAAAAGTAGCCAAAGCTAAATTTATTTTTACAGCCTTCTCACAGGGAGTGCAATATGTGAAGAGGAATATATGTGTATATATATATAAAACAACCATTAACATAGAAAAGTGCTGCTTTGAATCAAACATTATCTGGAACATCTTTTTTTTCCTGCCTTCATTTTAGCATCTGGTGTTAGTTTTTATTTCTCCCTGTAAAAAGCAGCTGCAGAAAACGTTTAATGCAAATTTCTCTAGTCAGATGTGGCCGTTTTACAGTCAATAAAACCATTTTTAAGTAGTTTATTTCAAAGGAGCCCACACACATGCAAAAAAGCATAACGCATATTGAAACCATATATAAATGTTTGCATCTAGTTTTAAAGACACAGAAACAAATGAAGAGCGACCAGAAAGTCAAATAAAATTTGGAGAAAAAAAACAACAAAACTAATGACCAAATAAAATGTTAATTTCTTTTTTCAACAGAAGAAAAAGACAGAGGGTAAACGGTCAGATTGGTGCTCTGATCTGCAACTATCACGCTTGGTTCTCCTTTCAGCACAGCGGGGCACAGCCAGTTCACCTTGTCCCCGTGTCTGATGCGCAGTTTGGGTCCAGACGTCGTCTCCTCCTCCGTCGGCGACTCCTGGTCCTTCGCAGCTGCTTCGTCCTCCTCGTCTGCCTTCTGCTTCGATTTCTCCTGAGCCTGCTCTCTTCTCCTCCTGCTGCTCTTACCTTTGCGGCGCTGAGGCGCCGCCGTTTGTGTTTTTCCCTCTGGATTCACCACCGGGTGCTTGCTGAGGTCCCAGAGGGCCACGAGGCCGTCGTTCCCCCCGGTGACCATCCAGTGAGGGTGGGAGAGGAAGCTGATGAAATGGGCCTGGGAGGCTCCCTGAGTGTGAGCCTCAATGGCTCCCTGCTGCTCCAGCTTGGACCCGCCGCCGATCCGCATCAAGTGGACCCGGCCGTCCTCGGCGGCGCAGCCCAATACGTTGCCGCAGCCCGACACCGAAACGCAGTGAGCCAGGGGGGGGTTGAAGAGCTGGCCCGGCCGCTGCTGGTGGTGGTCGCCCGCTTCTTCTGCCGCGTCCTGCAGGTTGAGAGTCCACAGTGGGCGGGTCTTCTGCAGACCCCACAGAATCACCTGGAGCAGCAAAGCAGGCAGATATCGCAACGAAAGGCCGATCATTAGAGCGTTATCAAAGTGTCTATTGCTCCTGATTACGCCACATTATAACAAACTTCCATATGTTGTAAATTATCTCGCATTGTCAACTTACACCAGGTCTGCGTGATAAATCGATTTTACAGATTAATCAAATTCTCTGTTTTTGAATATTTAACTTTTGGAAAATCTGACATTTTCGTGGGTTTCCAGAGTGCGGGTTTCAACGAGCATCTTTTACAGCTTCTATTTATTTTGACTTTGAATTCAGATCAAGTCACAGAAGAAATTATCAAACTAAAAGCCTGTTTTTTTTTTAAATGTATTTTCTAAATTTTTTTAAGGGAAAAAAAAACTGAAATCAAAAATCTAATTTGGTATAAACACATCAGAAATTGTATTTTCAAGCAATAACCAAGAGGAAGAAGAGCTTTATTAATGAAGCAATGATATAAAATGATCATTTTATGTATACATGGTTTGGAGACAAATCTGAAACCTATAGCTATATTTGCATCAAACTCACTTTTACCTTGATGCCCTTAAGTAAAACCCGGTGAATCTAATTCACCTGATTGTATTAAATGAAGTCCACCTGTGTGTAATTAAATCTCAATATAAATCCAGTTGTTCTCTGAATTCCTCTGACGTTTGTTAGAGAAAGTTACAGTTTTGAGAAAGCCGTTTTTCTAAAAAGTCTTGAACACCTCAGACTGTTTTCCTTCCACCTTGCAATCATGTGCTCGATCAAACACATTAAAATGTGAAAAGGTCACACGGTATAAACTAGGTGACATTCACTCACCTGCATGTCCAGGCCCACAGAGACCAGGTTATTGGGTCTGTGAGGTCGGAAAGCCACAGAGGAGCAGATGTTTGTGTGTCTGCGGAGACTCCGGCACACTTTCCCACCTGGAATCTCGAGTATCCTCACCGCCCCAGAGTCGTCGGCCACAGCCACGTTTGAGCCAGTCTCGTTCAGAGCCACAGCATTGATCTCCTCCTCCCCCGCACCGCGGAAATCCTCCACCGGGCCCCTCAGGTTCCGGGGGTCGAGCACGCTCACCCCGTCTCCGTGCGACACGTACAGGTGGGCGGCGGCTGCGGGTGAGAACGCCGCGCTGGTAACGTCCTCCTGTCCGGGGAGAGCCAGACGCCCGACCACGGCGCCCTCTTGAGTCCACACCGTCACCTCTCCGCCCTCGGCACCAGACGCGATCAGGCCCTCTGGGCCCGGAGACGCACCGACACAGAGGATGGAGGAGGAGTGGCCCTCAGACCACAGGCTGCCCATACTGACCACATTCGGGAAGGTAAAAACATGAAATCGCAGTCATTTGTTTTTACATTGCATGCTACATTTAGGCCAAGCAGTTAGACTGGTAACTACATGATATATAAACATGGCCTTAGTAAACATTTTAAATATATCAAGCAGTAATAATATAGGAGTATGATGCCATTAAAATTGAAAGCTCAGTGCAGACAAAATAGTTCAGCTCTGATTTCTCCTTTTCAAATTAAATGTGAGAGTGAAACCTTACCTAGGTGATTTATTAGATTATCTTTCATTTTCTTTTGTAATTATTAATACTTCATGTAAAATAAGTGAAAATGAGAATGTCGCTCTCATGTAGCTTCTGCAATACAGTTCCAAAAATTTGAATGCTCAATAAATATACCTGTTTGTAGTAATGATTTGTGTAAGTATATTTTCACACACAAAAAAATGTATAAGGATGCATTCTGATGAAATAAAATGCAACATAAACCAATGGAAAAACACCAGAGGTTTTTTTCACCATAAAGAGCAAACGGAAGCTATTTATTTGCCATTTTTAGGTTGTTACTTAATTATATGGAACATCATACCATCATGTTACACCTTAATGGATTTATTAACCTACTATAGAGACAGACAGACGGAAAGCCTGTCTCTCTGCCAGGCTTTTTATCCATACAGCCAGACAGACTTAAAGAGAAGCAGCAAAAGTAAATGGATTAGAAGTGCTTGTCAACAACTGATGCTGCCGTCCTGAAATACTGTCTCTGCTGCGTGGACACTGGTAGTCTTCAGTCAGAGGCCTCTTCGGATTCGTTGCAAATCTGACTGCTACCAGAGATCCCACCAGAGGCACTCGGCTACGAGTATTTTTTTAATGGAACTGAATTTACTTTATTATTATAACTTATTATGAGTGTGTTTACTTTGTCGCTGTATTGTTATGTTTCTTTTTTTGGTTGGTCTTGGTGTTATGTTTTACCAAGTGAAGCACTTTGAACTGCCGTGTTGCTTAAATGCACAACGCAAACAAACTTGGCGTGACATTTGTTGAACTGCTACAATAGAAGACATGTTTGACCATGTCCATACCTCACCACAGACCACCATGCCTTCAGGAGATGGCAAAACAAACCGCCTTTAGCTACGAGGCTAACTAGTTAGCCTCGTAGCTAATATGCTGCTTTTTGCCCCAGTTGACTTCGTGACGGCGGTTAAAAACGTACGCACGTAAAGTCTAAAGACAGCAGCGGCTCACGCACGCAACGTGGCATCAGGTTGAGCTTCAGGATGTATGAATTTTACTACCTTGGCGAGGAGAAGTCACAACTTTAGCATGCTACCATGTGAAAGGCTGCGGTCGCTCGTTGGTGACGTCACAGGTAGCGTCAAAACTTGAATCCCTGAGTTTGGACTGCCAGGCGTCAAAGGGGAAGCGAGAATTTACTAAATAATAGCGCTTTGTGACACTAAATACAACAACCCTCAATAAAAATAACCAAGAAGAGGAAGAAAATACTTGTAAATATTTAACCCAACAAGGCTATTATATATTTTTTCAGCTTTATTGACCTTTGGCCCAAGTTGTGCCTTATTTTTTAGTGAGTTATTCTAGTGATTCAGATTAGGGTTGCAAGAGTTTGTGCTCTACTCAATACAGATACATTGATCTGTATCTGCATGAAAAGGAACACAAAATAAAATTAAGTTTATTTAAAAAGCATAACTCATAAATAATGCTGTCCTAAATAACAATAGATCTAAGGAGATCCATGAATAAACTTTTAAGCGTTGCCTAAAATGTTAAGAGACAAAGTGAGGTGAGCTGGGAAAATGTGTATAACTGTGGAAAGGTTTGGAAGTATTTTAAAATGCAACACACACTGCCATATAAGAGAAAAACACAAGAAAGAAAAAAAGTGTGTTAATTTCCGTAGTTGCTGCATCGAAGAAAAACAGAACCAAACTATCTCATTGTCGTTCGGCTACACCCCTTCACCCCAACCTGGCCTTCTTCTCCACAATGGCTGCTCTCTCGCTGATTCATCCAAAGCTGCAGATCTGATGAGTGTTCATTTCTGGGTCAGTGAGCAGCATGCAGTGCTGCCTCTCTGAACAGCGAACAGAGAAGAGCAAACATTGCTTTCAGACACAAACTAACTGCACACAAACCCAGCAACCCTTCCCTCCTGAGGCTGTGGGGCCCTCGGGTCTCGCGGGCGATCTGTGTGCCCTCGCAGAGCTGCGGCGCTGGGATTGTGAGTATCTCTGTTTTCAGGTGTACAGGGCCTGGTTCAGTCTTAGCAGAGCGGGGTTCTGCGTAGAGACAGAGTAACATGCAATGATGGATCTGTGAATTAAGGTCTGCTTTATCAGTATATATTTTTTAAATTATCCAACATCGAACACAAACCAGTTTTACAAGTCTAGTCTTTCTTTAAACCCTTGGAGTAAAAATAAAAAAACTATGATGTTTGAAGTCTAAAATAGTAAACATGCAGAAAGAAATCTATCCTTAAGATTTAGAGAGAGGTAGAGTAATAGCAGGTGAGTTCCTGTGTCCTGGAAGATGACGACACGGTTTCCACCTCAATGTTTTGATTGCACAGAGCTTTGAATCAGTCGTATTTTTTGATTTTTGACTGTTTTGCTTTTTAGATATCCACATTAATATCCCCAAACATTTTGCACTAGTGCACAAAATGTAGCCTTAGAAGACACTAAGTTCAAATAAATTAATCTTAGGGCTGTTGATGCATTTGTGTCTGTTTTTGTTCACTGAGCTGTGACTTTTGTTCACGCTCACAGGTCTTGAAATAGAAAAAAAAAAAACATTTATTGCACAGACATAGCCCACGACAGAGTGGGCTATGTCTGTGCATGACCCCCACCTGGGTGGTGTACTCCCACCCGACGTGGACCACCGCGCGCAGAGATCTGGGCGTGTTCCTCAGCTCCTGTATCTGTAGCCAGATACAGGCAGCAGTTGGAACAAATCGTCTTCAAAATGATCAAAGTACAGCGACTTTACTCCAGTCGCTGTACTCCCTGTGCATGAATCTACATGTCTTTTGCTTAGATTTCATCCGTAACTATGTAATTCAGTGATTTTCACAGACATTGGCCTTTTACTCGCTGCAGATTTCTGACCAGTCGGAGAAATCCACCTGAAAGTGAGCATGAGATCGCCGTACTTCCCGGCGAGGTCGGTGCTCTTCCACAAGGAGCCCAGCGGAGTGACATACAGAGTCCCGGCTCTGCTGTACCTCAGCCGCTTCAGGGCATTTCTGGCCTTCTGTGAGGAGAGGCTGACCCCGTCTGACTCTCAGGCTCACCTGCTCGTGATGAGGAAAGGCACCTTCTACAGAAACTATGTGGAGGTCAGTGACCTATGGTACAGTGCTGGTTGGTAAAGTGCTTCACAAGAGTTACGAGTCAGTATTATGAGTTTAAACTACTTTCTCAAAGTCATCCAAATTGAAAAACAAAAAGTTGATGGTCATTTTGAAGCAAATATGCTGTGTCATTGAATCAAATGATGCTAATTTTCTGTGTTCCTCCTTCACTTTCTGTCACTTTGCTGCAGTGGAAGGACATGTGTGTTCTGGGCACGGCCTTCCTGCCCGGTCACAGGTCCATGAACCCCTGTCCGGTGTACGACGAGTTCACCGGAGTCCTCTTCCTGTTCTTCATCGCCGTTCTTGGCCACACCTCGGAGTCCTACCAGCTTGTCACCGGGGACAACGTGACCAGACTCTGCTACATCTCCAGCGCTGATGGAGGCGACACCTGGAGCCCGGCCACAGACCTCACCGAGACCGTCATAGGAGGCACTATCAAAGGTAACGAGACAGCCGCCTGTTAACCGCATTACCAGTGGTGGTTGTTGATATGGGCAATTGCCCAGGGTGGCACTAGAAGAGGGTTAACTTCTATGCACCACAAATCTGGAACAAACTTCTGAAACACAGATTTTCTTCAAATGAATGCCAAACCCCTCTGGTTAGGAGTTGCTTTTGAACCATAATAAATGTAACACTGACGGACATATCTCATGAGTATCAGTGATTTTGATGATGCCACTCGACAATGCAGTGCAGTGTTGGGTTGTGTTTGAATGTTTTCAAGGCGAAAAGCACTTTGAAGTGAACTTGATGGACTGACTGACTGAACTTGACAACTTGACAGACTGGGCCACCTTCGCTCTGGGCCCGGGTCACGGCATCCAGCTGAAGTCGGGCCGCCTGCTGATCCCCGCCTACGCCTACCACATCGACTGCAGGGAGTGCTTCGGCCAGCTCTGCCTGACCACCCCGCGCGCCTTCTGCTTCCACAGCGACACCCACGGGAGGAGCTGGCGCTTCGGCGAGCCCATCCCGGCGCCGGAGAGCGTGGAGTGCCAGATGGTGTCCGTGGACGAAGAGGACGGCTCCAACGTGCTGTACTGTAACGCCCGCAGCCCTCTGGGCTACAGGGTGCAGGCCCTCAGCCTGGATGACGGCGCCGTGTTCCAGGAGGGGCAGCTGGTGCAGAGCCTGGTGGAGCCCAGAAATGGTTGCCACGGAAGCGTGGTTGGGTTCCCCGCTCCGTTACGTCCCTGCGAAGCTCACGGCGGCCGCAGGGCCCCCTGCAGACACTGGACGTCCTTAACGGGCCACGCCGACGGCACCCGTCCCGCTCCCCGACCGGACTTCCTGACCCCCACCTGGGTGGTGTACTCCCACCCGACGTGGACCACCGCGCGCAGAGATCTGGGCCTGTTCCTCAGCCCGTTCCCACGCGACCCGGACAGCTGGCGTGGCCCCTGGGTGATCTACGAGGGCCCCAGCGCGTACTCGGACCTGGCCTACCTGGACCTGTCGCCGTCGCCGGAAGAGCCTCCGGCCGCGGCCTTCGCCTGCCTGTTTGAGTGCGGCACCAAGACGGCCTACGACGAGATCTGCTTCAGCGTCTTCAGCCTCTACGAGCTGATCAACAACCTGCCCGGAGCCGCGCGCAGGGCAGAGCGCGACGTGGGCGGAGAACCGCAGCCTGGACGCGCTGCGGGGGCCCATCTGGTGGCTCCTGTGAAGAAGAAGAGGAGGAGGAAGCTGATGAAGATGTGCTCTGTTTCTTAAATATTTAAGAAACGGAGCAACTACATTTGATCTGTTTTGTTTGTGATTTTTTCTTTTCTTTCTTTTTTTTTTGAATCATGAATCCAAATAAAAATTCGGATAATTTATTTCTATGGTTATTATTTTATCGGATTTCAGCATTTTCGTGGGACGAACAAGTGACACAGGAAATGACAGGAATTTTAAAAGCTAGATATTTTGCATTGGAGCTAATGACACTTTATAAGGAGTTTAAAGGAGTTTATGGGAATAAACTCAAGAGTATTTAAAATACTGATAATCTTCACCAAATCAGGCAGATGTTTTGCACAAAGCGCCTGCTGAGAGCAGGGGTCATTTGGCCACGCCCCCTACCTGCATTATTTCTAGAACAATGACGTCACACTTCTAAAGGAGGAGTTTAGGAAAGATGATATTTTAATGATAGAAGCTCCTTTCAATAAAACTTTTTTTTTAAAGTGTCAATTTTGTTCACTTTTAAAATGTTTGACATGATTCAAACATTTTGAATCAAGTATTCATTATTTCATTAATTTAATAATGAAATATAGTAATTTATCAGCTCATTCATTTTAACTGATGAATTAAATCAGTAAAAATGTGACGCTTCATAACAGAGTACTGAACTTAACGTTGCAAATAAGCTCCCTAAAATAAACTTTCTAAAAGTTTATTTTAAAAAACAAACAAAACTTTGTGTGTCTGTTCCAGAGCCGTTTGTCCAGTTTTGTCAAAGATGTTGCTTTAGGCGGTGATGCTTTAAATCCCTGAAACTTAGACAAGTTAAATTTGCTTTAGTGATTTATAAGAAAAAAAAAATTAAATAAAAAACCATAAACTCCAGTCAAATGTGATGCAGCAAAAGCAAAAACATTAATACCCTTTTGTTTGAAGTTTATCAGAGAGGTTGAGAGCTGACTAAAATATTTAGCCTGAGAACAGTGAAATTTTAGCTACCAAGTTTTCAAAATGCCTCAATTAATACAGAAAACAAAAAAAAAAAAAAGTTTTTGGTCATTTCAGTGCAAGTGACCTTCTGACCCCCAGAAAATGTTGTCCGACACGCCCTTCTATGGAGAAAACTGACTTTTATTGCACTCCCAACATCTGCACCATGACAAAAAATATAAATTAAATGAGTTTATTTTAATTATACAATGTAAAAGTGAAAATTATAAAGTATATATGAGACACAAAGTGATAAACAGCTCAGGAAATAAAGAGCCCACTGCACTGAAAACCTGGTTATTCCACCAAATATTGATTTCTGAATCAATATTAATGTTAATCAATATTAATGTCAAGACATTAATAAGCTCCCTCAAATAAACTTTCCAATTTTAAAAAACAAACTAAACTTTATGTGTTTGTTCCAGAGCCATTTGTCCAGTTTTGTTAAAAATGTTGCTTTAGGCGGTGATGCTTTAAATCCCTGAAACTTAGACAAGTTAAATGTTATTAATGTCAAGACATTAATATTGTTGTTCCTAAATGAATATGAACTCGTTTTCTCTGGATTGTTTGAGTACTGCATGTTTTTTGTTATTTTTTCTCATTTTCTGCAAATACAAAACTGTTGCTTGAACTTCAGAGACATGTTGTCAGAAGTTCATAGAATAAAAGAACAAAGTGGGTCGCAAAGGTTGCACACCTCTGGATCACACACACACACACACACACACCTAAATCTATCAGCTTTAACTGATAGATTATTGTCTGTTTTCGGTAATTGATAAAGAAAGGAGGACGGTCAAGAATTGGATTGTAGCAGAACAAAACCCTCAAGTTTGGTCGGTTAAAAAAACAAAAGAACGTGACCTCCAGACTCCCCGTCTGTCTTTCCCTCCCCAAGTACCATTTTTAACTTTAACCTTAAAAAAATGTCTCCTTCCTAAAAGAAGCTTACTTAGTTCAAGTTTTGTTATTCCTTCAGTCAAACACTGAAGAGGAGGCGCGGCTGCAACCAATCAACTCTCAGATGGGTCCCTCCAGACAGCTACTTTCCTCCTCGAGACATTTGGAGGCTCATGAGCCGAGAGCGTCAACAGAGACAAAATGAGAAATGCGTGCAGCTTAAGTGCCGCGGCTTTGTTTAGCTTATGGGGACAAGAAAACGAATTGTTCTTGTTTTTCTTGGAAGCAGGCAGAATCTGAAAAATCTCGTCTCTTGCTTTCCCTCCTCTTCTTTCTTCTGGTTGCACAACTCAGCGCCGACAGATTCATTCCTCCTGCTGCACTCCTCCGTGCTAGTCGCTTTGAGCTTGCTCATACACACACACACACACTCGTCTGAGCTTCACAGCCGACAGGAATGGGACTGAGGAGAGCGATTGTTCTGGTTGCGTTGATGGAGGTGACATGGAGCCTCAACGTGATGACGATCGGACCTGAAACCGTTTTCTCAGCTCATCCCGAAGCGGCCGAGGAGAACGCAGAGCAGGTGAGGAAGATCAAAACTATGCGACCCCTGCATCAAAATGACATATGTATATGTATTTGTTGCAGTCATTATCAGATCAATATCATTCTGTACACAGTACAAAAACCAGTGAGTGAAAACAGCCTTCAGTAACGACTCAGGTTTGAGGACCAGATGTTGAGATCAGCTCAAAACAGCATAAATATGTTTCACATGAGATTTAGACAGAGTGGATGATGACGGGGATAAAAAACATCAAAATATGAACTTTTTTTTTTTTTTTTTTTTTGGCTCCTTGAACTCCTATACTGTCCTCGCCGATTGTGGAGTCCAACAATAAACTAGCGAGGGAGCAGCTCAGTTCTTCCATTTGTTCTTTTTTGCAGGCAGCTGTCCTGTGGCCTCCAAGTATTTGTTGACGAGGTCTTCTTGTGTTGCTGGCAGGCAGGGCTGATATCTGCTGTAGTCCATGGTGTACTCTCCTTTTCCCTGCAGAAACATCGGGAGAACATGTTTTCCCTGAGTAAAATCTGAAAATTAGCTTCTGTCTGGCTGCTGATCAAAACAAATTGATGCGTCCCTGATTTACTAAACTGCTTTCCTGAGCAACTCGGCTTGAAAAACACAATTCACTCCCCTCAACTCGCATCGTCTCCTGGTCGACTTTTGTCCAATCAGCGAGCAGAAGGAGAAATTTTGCAGCAAATCGACGGTGCACCGTCGATTTGCTGCACCGTTTTAGGATTGTGGTCTGCTTGTAGTTTTAGCAGTCATAACGGAGAAAGCGAATGAAGCTTTTCAGTCTGTGTTGGCTCCGCTTCCAAATACTGAATTAACATTAACACCTGGTTTAGGGCGAAGTGATCTCTATGTAGTAATTTAAGTTGCAAAGCCCAGGAACGAATGCAAATCGTAACATTTCTTCAGTGGTCTTGATAAAATTGGTGAGTCAGATTTATAATGACATTTTAACATTTTATACTAAGCGACACCTCACGAGTTAAAAAAATAAAATAAAAACAGCTTCTCAAAGTCTGAAATCTCTGTGTCCTTGAGTAGAGTTGTTTCTTTTTCTTTTAACAAAGTCTCCTACTTGAAAAGAAAAACAGAAGAGTTATTTTCTTATTCCAAAGGCTTTCACAGCTTGATTAAAAAACATGAGGATCTAAACTTTGAAAAAATAAAAAATAAAAAGGCAGCCTGAAGAGGAAATACCCTTAATCATCCATCCCCCAATAATAACACCTGCGTACTTGGAATGAAGTCAGGGTTCTGGACTAAAGGATGTGGATGTTTTCCCAGTTTTCCCCTCAACACATTGAGATGTATTGACTGTATTAACAGTAGTTGGATTGTTACAGCATTTATTTATTGTATGTATAAATAAATGTATTTTTGAGAAAACGTGGTCTTTTAAGAGTCGCCTAATGAGGCTTCTACGTCCAGTCATACTGTGGACGAATTTTTAGATATCCATTCTCAGCTAGCTCCGTGTTAACTAGCTGAGTTCACTAATGTTCATGTCGCCACATTTAGTCAAAGTGTCAAGAAGAGGGTAATATTCTGCTCAAATGTAGATGATCTGGTTTGCAACTTGGTAAAGTTGACCGCTTGCTACGCCGCCATCTTGAAAAGCCCCTAGTGGCTCATTTTAAAAGCTGCAGCAACTGCATTTTAAATGCATTGAACCTGAACATTAAAAGCATTTCTCAAATCTTGGATAGAACATCTACCAACAACAATCAAGTTTCTGAACTCTAGACGTACCTCGGTGCAGGAGCGCAGCTCTGTGGAGTAGCCAAACATGTCGTTCAGAGGAATCTGTTGGAGGAATCCAGGCAAATTTAGAAAGGAATGGAGGAATATGAATATGTAGAGCTCATATAAATGCTGTGATTTGAAGCCAGACTCACATCAGCGTACAGAGTGAAGTATCCCTCGCCTCCGTCCTGGCCTGTGATCACACCGTGGCGACGGTTCACCCCAGAAATGACGACTCCTTGAAACTCCTGCGGCGCAACGATCTCCACCGACATGATTGGCTCCAGAATCACAGCTTTGGCCTTTTCCATCGCTGCGGAGGAGAGAGAGCGCCACCAAATTTAAGGAACAAACACACGACGACGTATAGAAACAGCCGTGGAAATAAATGTTTCTGCTTGTTTGTTTTTTGTTTGTTTGTTTGTTTTGGTTGCACACACCACTTTCATTTGTTTGTGCTGAGCGAATCACAATGTGAAAGCAGACCTTGTTTCACAGCGCCCTCTCCTGCACGAATGAAGGAGATTTCATTGGAGTCGACCATGTGATTGGCTCCGTCCTCCAGAAGGAATCTGACTCCTGTGATCTTGTGTCCGCTGAGGGGTCCCTTCTCACAGGCCTCCCTGAACCCCTGCAGCACAAGAAACACGGAAGAAATAATTTTAAGAAACCCCAAACAATCTGGAGAGCTTGACATTATTTTGATACGACTATAAGGAACTTAAACCTTCAACAGTAAAACATGGCACAAGAGTAAAATTGAACTTTCAGGTGCTTCTACTCACCGCTGCTGGATTTCAAACAAAATTAACTAATTCAACTTGAATTGTTCTTTTTTTTTTTCTTTACATGAATTTTGGTAAATCCCCACAGTGACGAATCATGAGCAGGACGGGGTTGCCACAGAGCACTTATAAATCCCTGGATGTGTTGCCGGTCCTTTTGGCCTTCAAGGCTTATTTTCTTTAACTTCTTTCGCACTTTTTAAAAACATTTCTCAACTTCAGGCGTACAGCACGTGCCGCTACGAGCAACAAAAGCGCATACCTTCTCCACGGCCGGCACAAACTGCTTGGGGACGTTCGTTCCGACGGTGTGATCTTCGAACTCCAGCTTGGTGTAGTGTTCGGGCTCCAGGGGCTCCAGGACCCCGATGACTTTACCGTACTGCCCGGAGCCGCCGCTCTGCTTCTTATGGGTGAAGTCAAATCTGGAAACAGAAGAGACAGAGGAGCCGCGCTTTGAGCCAGGATGACGGACCGAACCCAAAGTTTGTCATGGCTGATCTTGTCGCAGTAAGCGACTAATCAATTAACAGTACGATAAATTAAAGTGAGCCAGATGAGTATGATAGTTTTGATATTTATTGGAGTATATACATTTGGGAAGGCACAACATTTGGCTGGATCTTTTTCAGCACAAATCGGCAAAAAAATATTTTCAGAACCTGCAACAAAAAGTGGAAATGAAGCGGCAGACTCATCATCATACAAAGATCTATTTTAAATGAATTTTGATTTTATTTGTTATTTGGGAATTTTTAATCAAATTAATAGTATTTATTTTTGGTTGCACAGAATTATAATTTGTAAGGGTTCATTGATTTTGTACAGAAACTTCACTTGTTGAAAGTTTCTGGAGTAAAACATTTTATGTCATGTTGAGCTTCTAAGCAGGTGAAAATGTTTACAGTTGAGTACAAAATGAATCCCAGGCAGATTGAAAATGTAAAAATAATCTTAGTTTCACTGACATGTTTCTTCAGTCGGAAATAATATGAACCTTTACCAGAGTCCTGAAAGTAACCCGACAGAGAATATGTGGAGGATGTTAAGGATTAGGGTGATGTAAATGAGCCCTTCCAATTTTATTTTTTAATTTTTTGTTTCTTAAATGGTCTCCAATCATAATAATAGTCTTTTTGGAAATGCTTTCCAAACTTCTAATTGCAAACAAAACAGATAAACAGGCGTGTGAATAATTCTGGGCTTAAATGTCGATTGCTTTAACTGCAAAGCTGTGACACTGCTGAGCAGGAGAGGCGTCCTGTCTCTTTAAAAAGGGGTTGAGCTAGAGAGGTGCTCGGCTGTCAAAGGAGGAAGTAATGCTTTCGTTTGCGGGAGGAGCAGCTGATTTGGAGGACTGAACGGAGAAAACGTTCACCCAGTCAAACCTTCAGCACTGAGCGCAGGCAAGAAGCTCTTTGATTCACTTTTTGCTCTTGCATGATTGTTCTAGTTTCTCCTCTCCTCAGTCAATGTGTCCAGGCTAAAGACAGCAGCCCCACCCAGCGACGACCCAGGGGTCAAAGTCCATAAGGAGTTCACATTTCCTCTCTCTCTGTGCACAAAAGGAAGCAGCGGCAGCGGAGGAGGATGTGATGGCGACAGGTGAGCTGAACCCCAACCACTACCCCGCCCAGAGGGCGGCCAAGGTGGTCCAGCACTACCTCAACATGCGCTACGGCTCCCCGTACAAACTGTTTGGACTGAAGGAGGTCCACAGCGGGAACGTGGAGGTCAGGTTCATCTTTGCTGCAGAGCAGCGAGCGTTTCACAATCTGCATGCGTGAGCCAACCAGCAGCTCAACTCTGGATGTTCCCAACAGGAAGTGGCAGACTCCGGGAGAAAGTATCAGCTGCAGATATCGGTGCAAGAGATCATCAGCAATGTAAGAGAAACGTCACATTGTTGTTGAAGATGATGTTAGCATCGAAAGGTTTTGTGGCTTAAAGCTGACGCTAATTTATCTTTAATGATAGTAGTGTAAGATGCAAACGCATTTCAAATGTTTTGTAGCAAAGAGTGATAGTTGATTAAGCTGCTTTAGTGATATTTTACATTAAGGATGAAGAAATCAACAGAAGTCTTACAATGACACAGTGCGACTTTGTTCTATGTTTAGTCTGCTAATAAGTCTTGCTTTCTCTCACTCTAAATTGCAGACATTGCATTACTTTAACATTTCTGTACACCTTCAACTGTATTTCACTGATACCTAAACCTCGAGTCTGTCCTGAGGATAATCCTCCAGCGCAAAGAGTAGCGTTGTTTCTGCTACTTGGAAGCACTTATCTGGTACATTCAATTATTGGGAAAAGGTTGGGATTTTTTTGAGTTTCTCACCAGCAAGTTAAGAGTAAGAATCAACTGGACAATTCCTGTCACCAATCGATTTCTCTGTGCATCTTTAGATCTGTGTCTCATTCTAAATTTACCATCAGTTTTGATTGTGTGGATATTTTTAGAAACAGCTTTTTCTCTTCAGTACTTGTTCCTCTCATAGATACTGAAACAAAAACCTTAAAATAGACTTTAGCCCTTTTGAATTGGATTATTGTCGCCATCTTACTTGTTTCGCCCATATTCTCCTTTTGTTTTGTTTTTTTAAATTTGGCAGTTTTCTCTTCCCAATGTGTTTATTGAAAGAAATATTAGGCAAGTCTTAGAAAAGATTGAAGTTTAAACAGTTGTGTAATCTCTGGTAGTCAGCAGGCCTGGTGAGAACCGGGCCTGGTGAGAACCCACTGCCTGATAAAGGAAGACTTGGATGAATAACTGTGTGGTTTAACCTGACTCACTGTTGACACTAAGGTGACGCCTTTTTTCTGTCTACTCCCATTCATTTCTATTACAACCAGACTGAAGAGAAATGCTCCGCCGAGGTTTTCTTTCCGAGCGGAGAAAAGCAGCTCTCACCTCAAGTCCAGATCCCCTCGTGCGAGGAGATCTTGAAGCTTGATGCTACATCTGAAGAAGAGGCCTTGTACCAGCAGTACAAGACCAACAAAACCGTTCACACTGAAAAGCCCCTACCGGGTAATGTTCAATGGCAGAGACGCTGCAGATTACTGGTGACGATTACTAAAACGGGTTTGGTTTACTCAATGAGATTCTCCTCCTCAAATGTCTTTCAGACAGCTACGGTCACATCGACCCAGAAATGATTCCTTTCTGGCACCTGAGCATCGTGGCCACTAGCTTCATTATGCTGAAGGAATCAACACAAAACACTCTGTACAACGTGGCTCAGGTGGCCAACATCACTCAACTGGTAAGCTGCTAGATTTCGTTTTGACGGTAGAGGAGTTTTAGACCAAATGTGCTGTTTAAGCTGGTTCTGCAAACAAGGACTTGACCGGGAAAGTTACGTAAAAACATCTGCTGAAATCGATTGGTTGGATCGCCGGGTTTTCCTCCTGAAAATCTGCTAAGTCCGGTGATAGGGGTGCTAGGGCAGTATGTCAGCAGCCCATCAGGTTTAAAAAATGTTAAGTTATTAAAATTTGGAAATGATAACGTGAGAGGTCAACAGGCAGGTATGAAACGACGCAATTAGGGCAGTTCAACACGCCGGCTACGAACCTAGCTTCGTCTGTCTCTACTGTCACTGTTAAAAACCCTATTTAAAATAACAAATGACTCTTAGTCTAGTGGGGGAGCAAGCAAAGCCTGGTGGCCCGCCAGGCTTTTAAACACTGGGGGGGAAACCAAGATTAAATTTGCTGTTTTTGTTGGAAGTAAAGCTGTAATTTCTGATTCTTTCGAAAGATTTCTCTTTATGATTAGTACAAAATTCTTCTGCTCCAACACACCATATCAACTCTGCCAATAAATTGTCTATGAGACTGAGATCAGAGCTTCGTGTTTGTTGCCCTTGAGTCACTTTAGAACTAAATTGATCTCATTTTCCATTTAAAAGACCAGCTTTTGCCCAACTTCAGCTTCCTCGAGGATGTCTTTAGGTAATGCTACAATTTGTCAATATATGGTTCTCTTCTCAAGTAGAACCAGTAGAGATGATGGTGTCAGGCTTGTGTGATTCCTCATTTTTTGCTTTAAATTTAGACATTGCAGACTGCAGTGTTGATTTCTGAGTCATGGCTTCTTCATCACTGAGCGGCCTTCCAGCTTATGTTGGTTTAGAACTTGTTACTCTGTTAACGACATTATCTTTACCAGATTCAGTGGAAATCTTCACAGGTACTTTGGATTTGTTTCAGGACATAATTTTGCATCATCTTCCCTCAGGTTTTTACTATGATGAACACTTAGTCCGGATAGATATCCTGCATATTTGTACTAATTTATTCCTGCTTTTCTCTTTTGTGAAAAAAAAAAGCTCCAGAGTTATTTATTAATAACTACAAATTTATTATTTCAGAGAGTAGGGGAACCAAAGCCAAATTTCTCATTTATGTGCTCAAATTTGGCTAAGTTGCGACACAAAAACATGTTAATCTCCAGGAGAACAACACGAATCTTTAAAAGCATTCCTGGAGTGAAAATGCAATGTCTGAGTCTGAACTATCTAAGAAATGCAGTTCCCATTGCTTACTGTCCAAAAAATGGTTCTTCACGCCAAATGTTCACAAAAACTGAAAGTCAGCACCAGATTAAGTCTTGAACCTTTGAACTAAACATGTTTGCTGTTACTTTCTCTGCTTCAGGCAACAGAGAATGACCAGCTGAAGTTTGACTGTCACGTACTGCTGCATGACTTGGTGTCTCAGGTAAACACAAGCAGTAAAAGCTGAAAACTGGAGCTTTTTTCATGTTAAACCCAAACAGAATTCAGTAAGCCATTAAATAAAAGCAGATACATTTACTTTCAAATTAAGTATTAGGTCAATGATCACCCAATATTGTGCTAATCTATGTGTTTTGTAATGACAGTGTGTGTATTTGTTACAGGAAATTCCTCAGGTCAAGCTGCTGTTCACCTGGTCTCCAGCAGAGGGCGTGAAGGTGCTGCACACAGAGCAGCTGCCTCACATTCACGGATGTGAAAAACAAGCAAAACCAAATTGACCGTTTTCTAAGCTGAGATTGCAACACTTTGTAATCAGTCACTTCTTTGTAGACGTGCTGCAATATCTGAAGCAAGTCTAGCTGTTTCTCTTTTTTTCCCCTGCATCTTAAGCCGTTTGAAACACATGAAAAGATGGAGGTTATAAAATAAAGTGTTTAACGGTTTGTCTCGTTCTTTGAACTGTCGTGTGGATTAGGGTTACTTACGGCACAGGACTGGTGATCGTCTCTCTGAAAGCCACCTTTGGTTTCCCCATCACACAGGGACAGCTGTATTCTCGCTCCATCCTCTACAAGGAAAGTGTTGGAGGGGGAAAAGAATCAGCGCGCTAGGGTTGAAAACAACTTTAAAGTGCATTTAAGAATTGCTGTGCCTTGTTAATCCTGTGCCTAATGCAGGATTAACAAGGTAAAGTAAACCAGTGACTGATTTCAAGGAAAGAAGGTGGAGACTTTTTTTGTTTGCTGGCCTGCTAAAGATCAAAAATAGTTATTTTATTGCAGCTAATTAATTTTATACTTTAGTTAAAATTCTTAGTTAAAAAAAAGTATAATTTTAGTAAAATTAAAACAAAATTCAAGACCATATAAGAAGCCTTATTTTTGGATTATGGATTTATCCTGATTTACAGCATCCAGCTTTTTCTGGTGCAGAATTACGATGCAAGTCCCACATCAACGACATGAAAGTTAATATGAATCTAAATTAGTTCCACATATTGAAATGACACAGATTGGATGGTTTTTATGGGTAAAAAGATCAGAACTGGGCCACACAGACTATGGCGATAAAGTCAGATTTAAGTTGCATATGGGCAAAAAAAAAAAAAAAAAAGTAGATGTGGGTCACATTTGCCTGGTGTGTGAATGTAGCATCAGTGACATTAGTCCTGAATTCTTGGCTGTTGAATTTACATCCCGACTAAGGCTGATGGTGTACCTGGGAGTAGATCTCCAGGTGCAGCTCGCCCATCCCTGAGATGATGGTTTCTTTGCTCTCGGTGTCAAAAGTTACTCTGAAAGTGGGGTCCTCTCTGGTGAAACGGTTGATGCCTTTAGAGAATTTGTCCAAGTCGTTCTGGTAAAGAGAGACAAAAAAGAAGACATTTAGATACAGTCCTTTATTAGCACTTATTTCAGGTTTAAAAACCCTTTTACCTTATTTGATGGCCTAATTGCCATGGAAATGACAGGCTCTGGGACGTGAATGGACTCCTGTGTGAGCATCAGGACAACAAATTAGAAAAAAACCCCATCAGTTTCCTGCAGTTTGATGGCCCAGGGCGTTCAGGCGGCTCACCATGGAGAGGTTGGAGCTGGACTTGGATGTGAAAGTGTCTCCGCTGGCACAGTCGATCCCAAACAGAGCGCAGATGTCTCCTGCGTAAACCTCATCCACGTCCTTAAACACCACAACCAGACAGAGGAAGCAGTCTGGTTAAATTCGCTCCATTTACTTATTAATTAATACACTTTCATAGCTTTTGTGTTTTGCTTCATTTGTGAGGCGGATGGAAACATGTTGCTCTGTTGTCAAGGAGGATGTGGTTCTTATCTGCACACTTGACTAAAGCCAGAAGAGGAACTTCACTCCTCTGGCCAGTCATGCACTTCTCTAGTTTTTAATCTGCACACCGCAGACGGAGATAAAATGGTGACCCGTGACGACCCGCCGGCGACTCGCCCTCACCTCCATCTGATCGGCGTGGAGGCGCACCAGCCTCTGAACTCGGACTTTTTTGCCCGTGCGCGTGTTGTAGATGTTCTCTCCTTTCTTCAGGCAGCCCTGGTAAACGCGGATGTAGGTCAGCTGACCGAACCTCCCGGCCTGTCGACAAGAGACAGCAAAGCATGACGGACCTCGCCCTTCTGAAACAAACTGAGGTGGAAATAATCACTCTGAAAAAAACCAAAACAAAAGACCAGTACATACCTCCAGTTTAAAGGCAAGGCCAATGTAAGGCTTTGAGGCGTCTCTGACTGGGTCCATTTCAATCTTTGACTTCTCTGTTGAATCCCTAAAATGAAGAAAAGAAAATCAATATGAAGTTTGTTTTTTAATCACCCAAATGCATTCTTAAGAGGATTTTTTGTTTTAGCAAAACTTGTTGGTTTATTTTAGAAAACAAGATTTATATTTATCTACACACAATCACAGCACAGAAATTACCATCTTCAGTATTATTAGTCCTCTTAAAAAACAAGCTTTTTGTTCATCTGTTGGGCATTGATTTCACCAAAACCTGTAACGTTAAGTCAAAACTAAGTCTGCTAATTACTGTTTCAGTCGTCGATTATTCTGACGATTCATTGATTAGTTGGCTGAAAAAATTTGGAACATTCTGCAGAGGTTTCATTTAACAACTTATGCCTATTTTACATAATATTAGAAATACATAAAAATGCAATTAAAATCAATAGTCACTTAACTTCAGCAGACTGTTATCAGATGACATTTAGCTTTAAGGAGGCTAATAAGTTTCCCTCTGGCAGCTTTTGTTTTCAGAGAAATAACTGTGTGTGTAAATCTGAATATTGTCAGCATCAAAAATGAAGCAGGTTTCTTGAAATGAGCTAAAAACGTTTTTTGGCCAAATGTTCATGACATCAACCGGACAAGCTTTGAAGCGCTCACTCTTCATTGAGGATGGCGTAGTTCTTGACTTCGCTGGGGTTCGGCAGGTAATCCAGGACGGCGTCCAGCAGAGGCTGGACGCCTTTGTTCTTCAGCGCCGTGCCGACCAACACGGGGCTGAACAGGCGCTGCACTGTGGCTCTGCGGACCGCAGCCTGGCAGACGAGAAGGTGAAACGCTTATGAAGCGACTGGCTTTTATTAAAACATGCATCTACAAGTTGCAGGACGGCAGCTCTTGAGGCCCACCCCCAACCCCAGTTTAGACGGAAAAATATTTGTGCGTTAGAATGGCCAGGTCAAAGTTCAGACCGGAATCAAAATGAAAAACTGAGTTCAATCCAAAATGTAATGGAAAAGCATTTCAGTGAGTAGTTGTGCAACTCCTAAAGAGACACACCGCACATGACTTGCAGCTGAAATTACAGCATGAGGTGCTTCTCTAAAATATTGAAAAACAAAAACATCTATCATTTTTTCTTTTTTTACAATTATGCTCTATTGTTTATTGTTATTTCACATAATTAAGATACACTATAGTTTGTAATCATTGTAATCATAACAAGGCAAATTGTAAACAAGTTCAAGGGGAATGAATACTTTTGAAACTGTAGATCAATTTGTTTAATTAACAGATCTAAATATTAACACTTTTTGACTTCTTGTGTTGTCTCTGTCAAGCACAAAAAAAAAACTTAATTCATAAATGTGGTGACAAGCTGCTCACTTTTACAGTACAAGACACAAACTCTAAATGTCAAAGCTTTCTTAAGATGCTAACCTTGAGGTCCTCTTTGGTAGGAATTTTCTCCTCCAGGAACATTTCTCCCAGCATTTCGTCAGCGTTGGCGACACTCTCCACCAGTTCCTGCCTGCGGTCTGCAGCTTCTGCCCGGAAATCTCCTGGGATCTCGTCGTAGCGAATGCTTTGACTGCAGGGAAGAGGAAACACTTCAGAAATTCTCACGTTTCACATCTGGAAGCGACAGTGAGACGAGCATGGATCGGAATGACTTTGAAACGACGCAACATACAGTTAAGTGTTATGAAATAAGTAAAACAAACTATTGTTACCCAAACGGTCCTTCAAAGTACATGCTCCGCTCTTCTATCAGGTCGATGATGCCGTGCATGTTCCCCTCCAGGCCCATGGGGATGTTCACGAAGGCTGCGTTGTGGTTCAGTTTAGATCTAAAAGAAAAACAGAGCTCATGTCAGAGTGGAGAGGCACCGCCATAACAACGTATTTGCTGCTCTTGGAGAGAAGTTGGTGTTCACAGGTCAGAGTTTTTTAATCTCTAATCACAATTTTATTAAAAACTTTGAATTTTGCAAACTGAGTTGATTTTGATTTTTAGGGGAAGTCTATAGAACAGTAACACCCCAGATGATGGCGCTTATTAAATGACATGAGTTAAAGATTTCGAGATTTTTATTAAAGCTGCAGTTGGTAAAAAAAAAAGAAGTTTTTTTAGTTATTAGAAGTGTAATAAGTACATAGTTCTAATAAAAGTACATCTTAGATCATTTGTGAAAGCCGGAACTCCTCTGCGTCCTCTCTGTGGTCCTACTGCCATTTGCTGAAATACATAAAAAAACAACAGCAATCAGAGCCTGGTGGAGGGTTTTAGCGCTGTCAATAACCCTTGCTCATGTGCTGCTCACATCCTCACCCCTGCTATCTTACAGCTCCTTCCCCACAGCGGATCCTGCTGGTAAACACACAGCCTAGTTAGCATAGATACTGATGACGGCAGATAAACAGTTTTCCTGTAACAGGAAGTTCTTTCTCCCCCATTACCACACTCAGCAGCATGTACACGACACTCATTGACAGCACTGACAGTCCTCCTTACTCTGATTGGTTGTTTCAGACCAAGAATGGTGTATTTCTGCAGATGGCAGTACAACCACAAGGCTCAATATTTTCACATTTCTCTCATGTTATATTGTCATGACATAGAGAGTTTTAACAAATATGTAAAAAACATTTTTACAAAAGTTTTACACTGTAGTTTTAACATCTTTATTTCACAATCACAATTGTTTTTATGCATTTCTTTACTGTAACAGTTTCTCTAAAAGGTGAATAATTCTTATTTTTGCCAATAAACCTACTCTGACAAATTAGTCAATATTTATTAATTTGATTCCCAGATTTCTAGTTATCTCCCCAAGTTGATAATAGCACTCAGAAAATCAGAGTGCTGCCTTACTTTCATCACTCGGCTCAGCATGAGGACTTTAGTTGGACCAGTACCTCATCTGCTGCAGTGCCCGGCTCGGGTTGGCTCCCATTCGGTCCAGCTTGTTGATGAAGGTGAGGAAGGGGACATTGTAACGCTTCATCTGTCTGTTGACGGTCATGGTCTGACACTGGACGCCTCCCACTGCACACAGAACCAGCACCGCTCCGTCCAGCACCCGCAAAGCTCGCTCCACCTCGATTGTGAAATCTACGTGACCTGAAACACACACACAGACACACACACATAGGTTGGTTCAGAATACTGTGATGTCAAAGTAAATATTGGTTCAGGAGCTTTTTGAAGAGGAATAGGCATTTTCTTTTGCCAAGAAATGAAAAGTAAATAAATAAATAAATACTGAAATTACTTTGGCAAAGTTAAAAAAGAGAGAGATTTTAATATGTGACATCTAAACTAAAACTTTGGCGCTTTATTAAACCCTTTGTTAAGATTAGCACAGGCCTTATAAAATGTATTTTCTGTGGAAAACATAATATATGGATTTAGACATCCTTGCAAAGGTATTTATGTTACTTGGATCAACACAAAGTATAGTTACATTGTTAAATATACACTTTTAAAAACGCAGGTGGTTGTCAAATGTTTAATTGAGAGAGTCTCATTTGCAGGTATCTTCAAAATCACTGTAAATGCAGTGAAAGATCCACGCCTTTCAGATATATGTGTTCAAAACCATGGTGAATACCTGGTGTGTCAATGATGTTGATGTTGTGGTTCTTCCACATGGTGTAAGTCGCTGCTGACTGGATGGTGATGCCTCTCTGCCTCTCCAGCTCCATGGAGTCCATGGTGGCTCCAACACCATCCTTCCCTTTCACCTTCACATCACAGAGAAAAGCACTGCTCATTAACGCGGCCTCATCTCCTACCTCCAGAGGCTTCGCCCGTGCTGGCCCTCACCTCGTGAATCTCTGCTATCCTGCCCGTGTAGTAGAGGACCCTCTCGGTCAGGGTGGTCTTCCCCGAGTCGATGTGAGCCGAGATGCCGATATTGCGGATTCTTTCGTTGGGGAAGACCCCAGAGGAGCAGCTCCGACAGCTGTTAATTAGCACCTGCGGGACGGGGGCTTAAAGTTACGAACAGCTTTTGGAGAACTGGAGTTGAACCGGCGGTCGGAGTCAGGTTACCTTTTTCAGTGTGACGCTCCCCGGCGCTAACAGATGATTCCTGGCCAAACACAGACCCGCTTTCAGGAGCTTCATCTCGAAGAAAGCTCGGTGGTTTGCTCGACCCCAAACCCGCTAGCCGCCCGGTGAATGTCACGCCGGGATCCTGCTGCCTGGTTGTGAAACACAACTTCCGCATCTACGGAAGCCCAGAAGCTCAACATCCGCCTTTTTTTTTTTTGTGTGTTTTAGTATTAAAAATTAATTAAATACGCAAAAGAAAAAGTTTTTTGAGAAAGATTTTAAGACAGCATTTGTCCCGATTTAGAGGCGGAAACAATATCAAAGCCCAAACATCTGAATTATCAGTACAGTTATAATCTGAGCGCATCAGAATATAAACACAATCTGATGCCTTCAAGAGCTAGCAGATGTGTTTATTTCTGTGATAGTTTGTATAATACATTTTACTTTAATTTCACAATTAATTTTTTTTAGACAAATCTCATTCTAAACATTGTCTGTTGAATTGGTTTAATTAACTTTTCAACAATGGACCATATAATTATGCTGCTTTCATTAGGCTACTCTTTAAATTTTTATTTTCTGTTTTGTTCAATTGCAAAAAATGTTTTCTCTGTGACCAGTTATGATGCTACACAAAATATATGGCTAATTTTCAAAAGACACGCATGGATCCATGTAAGTGTAGAAAAGCCATGTCGTTAAACTTATTTGCAAGTAAATTTAGGCGGTAATTTTATTCTTAAAACTAGAAAATGAAAGTTAGTTGCCACTCATAAGATGGAGGAAGCGCTAATGTACTACGTGCTAACGAAGTAAACGTTCATGTTAGCTTTGCAAGTCTTACAGTGTAGAAATATGTGTTTGGAATTTTTTTGTCATAACTGTGAGTTTAAGAAAAATATTTGAGCTTTTCTTTCATTTAAAACAAGAACCATTGTTTACGTTTACGTCCCAGCTTTAAAAAGAAAACCCCAATAACCGTTAACACCTAAAGGCAGCACAGTTCAATACTTAGTGACTAACCATATTCAATATCATTTCTCTGTTGAGACTGTAGTTCTGTCATTTAGGTTTTAATATATTTTCTTGGTTAACTTCTGTTCCGGTAGTTTCGTAGGTATTAATTTTTTTTAAATCGATATTTGTATTTTAAAAAGAGCTGTGCGCGTGAAGTTAACAGTCACTTTAAGCTAGTTCCCGACACGAGTTTAAAGAGCCAGAGCGTCAGCAAGACCTGCCCCCGTTTACTTCAGCACTTCCTCTGCGCCTCTTCTCCTCGCTTTAACCACATGCTGGTGCTACTACCGTGCACTCATCGGTATTTCTCTGTGATTCGCAGAACAGAGAAGCCGCAAACTCCTCTTGACACCATTTGCCTGCATGAGTTAAAGCGCCATTTCCAGTGTCAGCCTTTTAACAGCTGCTTCACAGGAGCCAACAAAGCAGCGTCTGTCGGGTAAGTTTTGATATGTGTATCTATATAAATATATTTGGGTTTTAGGTTCGTGATGTCTATGATCTGATAAGTGAGTATCGACAGTCAATAACCAGTTATTTTTATAGGTAAAACAGCAAGAGTGACATTTAAAAGAAAATGTGGATCTGAAAGTCCTAATTAAAGCTTTGTGAAACCATAATAAATTCATCAGTCATTGCAAACACTGTTTGAACAAATAATTCACTCTGTAGGCCTTTACTTAAGAGGAGTGGCTGACTGAGTAAATGTATCACAAGCAAACAGATGAGTGTCAGTCTAAGGTGATGGCTGGTGAACTTCCCTATAGCATGCCGTTCTGTGTGCTTAGATCATTTTTTTTGTGTGTGTGTTATATGTTTGTGTTGAAATAACCAACTTCCCATTAAGGATATGTCACTGTTGTAGTGGGTGTTGATGGTTCCATGAGTACATTCAGTCCATGTCCATTAGTCAAAAGACTCCCAGGCATTAATCATCTTTCACTTCTAAAACCCGATCGACGAGATGACTGGTATTCTTTCTTAAGGAGAGCTCACTATACCTGAAAAACCACCAACTGTAAGAGGAGTGGGGAAGGTAAAAGTGTTTTTACTTTTATTTTATTGTAGAATCAGACAAGAGAAACTCATGTGCTTCATTGTCTTAGTTCTCCTTCCACACCTAAACAAGGACATTTCTTTTAGACGTGTGAGTCATTTTGTAAGCTTATTAATAATTAAATAATATTACACAATTCTGCAGTTAAGTGTAGTTGTGCATGCTTCACAGTGAGTCGGTATTTCCATTGTTGCGCTTCCTGTCCCATTTCCTTTCTGTGAGCTTTCCTGCTGACAGCACAGTGACAGAACTGCTGTCACAGTAGATGACAGTAGAATGACATTCACACGCTGCTGACTTCAGTCAGTCTAATTCACAAGACATTTTCGTATTTGTAAATTCATGCTTCTAGTCTTGTAAAAAAACAAATCAAATTAATTTTGTGTAGAATATTAATATATTCCATGTTTAAATAGCAATTCGGAGTGAACCTCAAACATTTCCTGTTCAAATATTTACTGTTTTTATGCGGCTGTACGTCACGTTATTCCTTGTATATATGAGAAAATGAGTAGACTTTGAGTAATTTACAATAAACTGTACATACATGTTGGTGCTAGCAAAAGTATTCATACCTGGTGTACTTGTTTACTTTTTTGACACATTACAAACATAAACCTTAACATATTTCTTGTGGCTGACCTACACAGAGTGGCACATATCAGAAGAACAGAAAAACAAGAGATTGGTTTCAAAGATTTCACAATCTTTAAAAATCTGAAAAGTGTGGCATGCAATTTATTTTAATACTTTCTGTAGACATGTTGCAGCGTGACCTCACACGTCGAAGATCTTGCCTCCAGCTCCCTGCTGGATGGCAAAAAAACCTGCTGTTTGTATGTGTGTTTTTGTTGTTGTTGTTGTTGTTGTTGTTGTTGTTGGTGGTGTTGCCATGGGTTGCTATGGCAACCCGTCTGTGAAGCATGAGACGGGTTGACGGGTTTTGAGTTATTTTTTGATGGTTTTTCAGTGTTATTTTTACCTTTGCTGTGGCCCACAGCACTAATAATAAGAACAATAGTGATAGTAGTAAAACCAGCGTTTTCATTTTTCAGCAATGATTTTCTTCTTGCCACTGTTGAATGAAGTCTAAAGTTTGGGACCTTGTTTCAAAACTTAGCCCTGATTTAAACTTCTCCACACTTTGTCCCTGACCTGCTCTGCTCCTTGGTCGTCTTGAGGAAGTTTGTTGACCAATGTTCTCTAGGAAACCTCTGAGGCCTCCAGCCTACACCTGTGAGAATAAATTACACACAAGCAAACAACAAATTAGATTACCTCTGAAAGCAATCTGTTGCACTGAATTCTATTTACCCGTATCAAAGCAAAAAGAGGGTCTTTCTGCATGGAGTTTGCATGTTCTCCCTGTGCATGCGTGGATTCTCTCCAGGTACTCCGGCTTCCTCCCTCACTTTGAAAACATTACTGTTAGGTCAACTGGTCTCTAAGTTGTCTTCAGATGTGAGTCTGCAAAGATGTGAGTATTACAAGAGGTGGATTGTGATTTTATTTTATACTTAGAAAATAAAATTTTATTTTATACTTAGAAAATAAAATCACATTACATTCACTAACCAAAGCAACTGACCTTTTAAGTAGAATTTTTTTTAAGTTTTAAGTGAGGATAATTAAACTTTAGGTATTTTATATTAATTAATGAAAGTCAGATTACTCGACTTTTGTTTTACATTTTAACAATGAAACACCAAAACAAAATGCAGTACAGGAAAAATAATGTAGAAAGGTGGCTACAAATGACACAATCATTGACACAGAAAGGCTTCAATAAAAAAACAGAGAAAAATGATTCAGTATTACAAATGAGCCAATAATCAAATCAGAAATGCTGGCTCGCATCAAAATACCTAAACCAACTGTTTTAGGTGGAAGTTCCAGTTAACACACAGATTCCCATGATGCAACAGTGTGTCCTTTATTCACAGTTCAAATTGTCCAAAGTTCAGACACTCAAAACTTTATTTAATCTGGCAAGTGCGACTCAGTCAGAGAACTGCTGGCTGGTCCTTCTTTTTTCCACGAACAGCGCTGATGTGTGAAAAATCATTCCAGCCAAGAGGGAATGAGTTTCTGCTCGTATTTTTATATGTCTGAGGAGGCATTTGTCTTTTTTTTTTCCATTTACACCTGGGATAAGTACTTTCACACCTTCATCTTGCTGTGAAGCATCGGTTTGCTTGGGTTTGTCGGTGCAGACGGTGACGTCGGAGCTGGTTGCTCAGAAACATGCTGGTCGTAAGTCATTGCTCATGAATGGATGCAGTCTTGTGTAGAGAGACAGTCTGACTGTCTTCTGGGGTCTGCCTGCTGCTGTTTGATTGACCCAGATGTGTAGAGTCTACTGCTCCACACTTCTGACCATCTACAAAGCCCAACAAAGTGCTGCTCAGGAAGTTTTCGTATTGGCAAGGCTTGATCAGGCGGATGCTTAATGAACGACAAATATTGATTTAATTTCCGGCTAATATTGGCTGACTTTATTGGCCTGGCAATTCCTCTGTGGTGAGCCACAGATGGAGCAAAAACGCAAATGGTCTTGTCAAGTGGAGAAAAACTGAATAGTGATTATTGAACTGTTGCTATCTAAATAAAGGATTGTGTCAATTTTGTTTTTAATTTTACACGAAGCACTCTTTGACGGATTAAAAATAAACATCATAGATGTCAATGAAGGGCTATGAATTGTATCCAGACACAGGAGGGCAGTAGTGAACTGATTTAGCTTAGAAGGCAGAAGATGTTTAATTTTCTTTTTGGATCAAACATGATATTTTGCTGTGAATATGCTGTATTTATCTGCTATCCTAGCAGCTGTTACAGGCCTCGAGCTTTGCAGGGAGAAGAATATCAACTGTATTATTGAGTCAAGTTCAGTATAATCAAAAAAATAAATAAATAAATTCAATTCAGAAGGGGTAGTTTGTATGTGTTCATTGCATATGAAGGGATACATTTCAGTAGTTTATTTTTGATCCTTTTAGATGATTGTTGTTCAGTTTCTTAGAAAATTTGAATATTACTCAGTACCAATTTAAAGGATTTTCAGAACATAAATATTACCCTAATGGAGATTATATCCA